AGACTCTGTCTGATGGGATCTCGTCGCGGGTTTCAAAACTGTCCTTCATTGTGGGGGGGCCTCAATCTTCAGGGTTCTCAGGCCAAGCGCCCACAAGCCGAGATGCCCACAGTTAGCGGAGACCTCTGCAAATGCTGGCCTCAATAGTGCTGGAGCCCTTGTGTTGGGGAGCATGTAGGGCCCCCACCATAATCAGGGCCCTGTTGTGCCAGGCGCTGCATAAACACAGAGTGAAGAGACAGTACCTTCCCTGGGAGCTCACTGAGGAAAGTGACTGTGTCTGTGCCTCAGTTTCCCACTATGTAGAATGGGAGGCTGACTCCCTTCTTGTGTGCGGCTCCCGGCCTGTGGTGTTGGGTGGTGCCGGGCACCAGAGACCAGCCCGTGAGTCGCTCTGTGCTCAGGGGGCTGGATGCAGTGAATGAGGCAGGGGCCACACGTGGACATATGAGGATCACAAGAACTAGGGATGTTCCTCCTCTAAAATAGGGACAACTGCGCCCAGACCTGCTCTGCAATGACTCCAGGTGTGAATGGCACCTGGCTGGGGCAGGGACTGTCTCTTGGCCTTCCTCTGTTACAGGAAAACCCGAGGAAGTGAGTGCCCCGCTCAGCGAGGGATGGGTTAAGGCCGCCGCTAAGCCGGGCTGTAAAGGGGTCATAGCTTGGATGGGAGACAGGGAAGGAAACCCAGGTGCTGGGGCAGAGTCCCAGCAGGGGGCGCACTCCCCTGGCAGTGAGATCTGGTCCCAAAGCCCCTGGGCAGCACTAAGGGGCGCTGGGCTGCAGGGGGTGGGGCAGGGGGCTCTGTGGGAGCCACTGGGCTGCCAGGGGCGGGAACCTGTCTCTAGGGTATCCAGGCTCAGCAGCTGGAGGGGGCGGGGCTCCCCCTGGCAGAGCGTGGGGGGCAGGGATTCTGTCCTGGCCCCGCCCCGTCCCAGCTGCCCTATAGGGCAGAGGGGCAGGGCTGATACATGGGGATCAGGGTCGACTCATGGACAAATCTGCTTCATGTCTTTGCAGGGTAAGGACCAGCCCCGAGACAGAGCAGATGAGACCCCAGCTCTGCTTCCCACCCCAATCTACCTGCCCTAGGATTCAGGACTCCTGGGTTCTCTCCCCGGCTTGGGATGGGAAGTGGTGTCCAGTGGTTACACCAGGGGGGCGAGGAGGTTTTAATGTTGTACTTTTTACTTATTTTCCTAATGATAGGTTGATTCTCATTAGTTGATAACCATTAAAAATGTTGATTTGCAACTAAATATAGTCTTTACACTAAATCTGATGGCAAACTATATCTATCCACGTTGATTGAAGCAGTTATATGGAGTCATTTACATTTCTTCAGTCTAATTTTTACATTTTG